ATTTTCCAGGCCCTGCATTCCAGTAAAAAGGCTGACCCACCCAGACCAGTGGCCCACAGCAACAAATTGACTCAAGTGGTCTTGCAACCCTCATCCAAGAAAGAACGGACTCAGTGAAGAGGACAACTGGCCCCTCAGAGCCCAGCCAACTAGCAGACCCAATTGCTTTGCCTTTTGTCCACCAAACTATCTGTAACTCTTCCTCCCATCTCCTCAATGGCACCTGTGAGATTAAACTCCTTCTCTGCTGTAACTCCTGCTGTCTAGAGCTATGGTCCCCCCCTCAAGTCTCAGGCAGGTACACACCCATGGCCTGTCAGAAACCAGGCCAGACAGCATTACCACCTGAACACTGTGCCCCCCTAGCCCCTGTGGAATAACTGTCTTTCACGAAATCAGTCCTTGGTGCCAAAAAGGTTCCAATCCATGAGCTGTTAGGGACCGGGCTGCACAGGAGGAGGCAAGTGGCAGGCAAGCAAAGCTTCAGCTGCATTCACACCTGCCCCCATCACTCACTGACCCCTTACTCATCTCACCACCTGAGCTCTTCCCCGTCCCACCTGGCCCCCAATCCATAAACAAACCGTCTTCCAGGAAACTCGCCCCTGGTGCCAAAATGAACCTATAAGGCTACAACATCAATTAAATCCTGACACCATCTACCTGAGGATAGCATCAGATCTCACGGGTTGAGGGCCCAGTCCCACAAGCCTGCCCCCCACTTCCAATGCTAATTACAAACCCAGGTTGTGTTACCTGAGCTTGTTTCCAATTGGCTATAAATAAAGGTTTCAACAACCCTCATCCTTCGGTTCTACTGATTTGCTAGAGAGGCTCACAGAACTTTTGGGTTTTTATGGAGACTTTATTACACAGGCACGAATGATTAAATCACTAAACCCTTGGTGAGGTGATCAATTTAACCCTCAGCTCCTCTCTGCCCTCAGTGGAGTTGCAGGGTGGGGCTGAAACTCCCTACCCTCTAATCTTGCCTCCATCTTTCCAGTGATCCCCACCAATCCTAAAGCTACCTAAGGCCTGCCAGCCACCAGTCCACTTATCAGCATACAAAAAGACCCTTATCACTTTGAAAATTCCAAGGGTTTTAGGAGTTGTATTCCAGGAAACTGGACAAAGACCAAATACTGTGTGTATTTTACAACAGCACAGTCTGGTTCCAAGGAACCCTCCTCTCAGAGCACACAGCTATGTCTACCTCATTTTTAGTCTCCCAACACATGGCACAGAAGGACTGCTCAATGATTGGCTATAAATCAAGGTTTCAACAACCCCCATCCTTTGGAAACCCCAAACCCCAAATTTGCTCAATAAAGAAGCAAAACTGGGGCTAGGACCAGATTTGCAGGTAATTAAACATGAAATAGGTATTGAGGGGAGACGGTATGGGAAGATAAGTCTAAAAAATGAAAAAGGAGCCAGTAAAGGCACCTCTCAGAGGTCGCAGACTATGGCCTCTGTGTACCCCCCGTGACATGGCCATCAGTGATGGGAATCAGAGAGTAAGCTCTACCACAGGCTGGGAACCCAAAGCAAGCGACCAACCATGTAAACAAAACCTCTTTGTCTGAACCATCTGAGTAGTCCCTGATAGCTCTCTTCTCTCTTGGAACCTCTTTTCCTTCCTCAGCAAAGTTCAACCATAGAGAATGCAAGAAACAAAATAAACAGCGTATTAATCTGATTTCTACATTCCAGCTATGAAAGATGTTCTTCCTATTGCTTTCTACATCAACGGGAAGAGATGAATTTAATTCACTGATTAATTGGGGAGGAAGGGACTAGAGACAAAGCAGCCAGGCACACTCTTCTGCACACAGGCAGTGGAGCACACGACCTGCCTCCCATGGCTGGCAAAGACATGTGGTCTCCAGCAGCACAGCAGGGCTACAAGCCACAAATTTCCTTACACTACTGCTCAGGTGTAACTTCTGTGGTGGGCTGTTGGAGTTGCTTTACAAAATAAATGGTCTTTTGCAAAAAAGAAAAAAAAATTTTTTTGAGACAGTCTCACTATGTCGCCCTGGGTAGAGTGCCATGGCATCACAGCTCACAGCATCCTCAAACTCTTGGGCTTACGCCATTCTCTTGCCTCAGTCTCCCAAGTAGTTAGGACTATAGGCGCCTGCCACAATATCTGGCTATTTTTTGGCTGTAGCTGTCATTGATGTTTGGCAGGCCTGAGCTGGATTCAAACTCAACAGCTCTGGTGCATATGGCTGGAGCCCTAGCTGCTGAGCTACAGGCACCGAGCCTGCAAAAATGTTTTTAAGCCAACAGGTTGCCTCCCTCATGAGTAAACCTTTGGGTATAATTTCTGGTGCCCAGAACTTAAGCAAACAAGGAAATGACACTAATGGTCAGATTTACCATCTTAATCCTCCAGATCAGTTCATCTAATCTAGGAGGCAACCCTGACATTTGAAAGTACTAAACAATGCTTCAAAAGCAAGCAGAAATCCACCACTTAATAAGGTCCTAAATCCCAGTTTGCTAGAGGGCACACTTCCATAGAAGTTCAGAAAACACCTCTATGATATAATCAGGGAGCACATCTAGTCAGAAAAGGTTTTCTTTTTATCTCCTGAAAATTAGCCCAAGATGATGTCAGTTGGTATACCCAGGAACTTGTGCCAAAATAATTCTCCTGCTCTGAATTAGAAAGTTAATACTTACAGAGGATTTTACAGAGATCTTCAGAACCCAAGTGGGTGTTAAACTATTATATAGCTGTTGGCAGTGACAACCAAAGACTAGGAGAAATGTATTAGTCAATAGCTTCAACACAGCCCTGCGTTACAAAACTACAGGCAGAGGTTAAAATTATAATCTTCATTTCCCCAATCTCTTTCCCCACAGTTGGAAATTACAATTATTTTGTAACAGGCTCTGCACACTATTAGCCTACACCTGGAAACCTTTCAATAGGCTTCTTATTTTGGCAGCGCCTGTGGCTCAAAGGAGTGAGGCACCATCCCCATATACCAGAGGTGGCGAGTTCAAACCTGGCCCAGGCCAAAAACTGCAAAAAAAAAAAAAAACAAAAAAAACAAGCCTTCTTATTTTATAATGGCATACACTCTTCATTGGCCCGGTAAGACATTTTCTGATATAAAGTCACTGCAAACTCATTAAATTTTTATTTCCAAAAAGAACAACCCCAAATTACTGAGATCTGTTTAAATGTTATCTACTATTGAGTTGACCCTTATACATACTAAAGTATAAATATTAGTAGTTTCTGAAGAGTGGGGTGGAGAGGGGTAGAAGTGTTTAAATTTCTTATATATCTACACCGTTTGACCTGATAGAGCAAGCTTCAATCATACCTGTCATTAAAAATAAAAAGAACCATTGCCATACACTTAAGAATTTTTATAATGCTTCATCAGCAAACACACTAGACCAAATTAGTTTTCTTTCTATACTGAGACTCACGGACGACATGGTGGAACCAAAAAAGCTCAGAGCCTCTTGCTTACTTCAATTTCCACGTGGGCTTTTACTCTCATTTATTTACAATAGTCAATATAAACAGTGACACTTTACCACAACAGACAATATTTTCCTAGGAAACAGACAATGCTAATTTTGCTATCACTTTAACTTTAGGATTTCTGTGTAATCATCCCTTCTTGCTAACTCTAGCTAAGTAGGAATATCATTTATTATCTGACAGCCAGAGTGACGTGGTGGAAAGACGTCACAAAGACCATCAGTACTGGTCTTGCAAGTCAGAAACCCCTTTTGACTTTTTGAAAGAGAAGCTAGGGAGCTCTAACTGTGAGCTTCAGTTTTGTTCACTATAAAAAAGAATAGTGGAATCTGCTCCCTCCATTGCATGACTACCTAAGAAATTGTTCTCGAACGAAAGAAAGGTAAAACCAAATCATGGGGGTTGTAATCCTCGTAGTTCATCATCGGGACAGCCAGGAAGTTACCAAATTCTTGATTTAAATGATCAGCGTCTACGACGTGAAAGGGAAACCACACCCAACTCCCTACATTAAGTTACTTTTAAAGTTAATTCGAGAAGAACAGAGCCTTAGGCCACGAGCGGGCTCTGGTCTGTTTCAGAAATGAGTTGGCGTCCAGCTGTGGCGACTGAGCTGGAGTCGCCACAACAGACCGGCACGCTAATTTAATTACAGGCTCCTGGAGGGACTCAATATGTCATCTTTCCTGGTCAGTGTTCACTTAGGGACCTGATTTTCTCCCACTCCTCCCATTCGTTTCCCCTTCAACTCCTCCCATCCCTTTTGTTTGCTTTTTCACTCTGAAACTGCTCTTCCTCGGTTCCGCCTACCACTTCTAAGCATTCTTAGCTCGTAACTAGAACCGGGGCACCCCAGGCTGCCCCCGGCCCCCAGCTCCAGGGCCCCGCAGGGGGTAGGGAATGACCTGCGGCCCAGCCCCCGGAGGCACGGGGGAAGAATTCCTCCACTGCCCCTGCGGGCTCCGCAGAAGGGAAGGGTACCCAAGCCCGCGCCTGCCGGAGTCAAATCACTTCCCAGGGCCGCCCCGCCCAGCCCTACCCCACCCTCCCAGAGCTGTCGATTCGCTGGGACTCCAGGGAACACTGGGGGTGTGTGGAACCCTGTTCCCCAAACTCGGGCCTGCTCCCCGAGACCCGCCAAGGGCGCGCCCCTGCGCCCCTGCTCTCAGCAATACCCAGCTTAGTGGGAGGCGGAGGAAATGACCCCAAAGTTGCTCGAGTCGAGACTTGCACGCGCGGAGGCGTCCCGGTGTCCGCCGAGAAGCTTCAGCGGCCGTATCCCTCACCGGTCCAGGGACTGTCCTCGGGGCGAGCGCCCCCGAGCCCCCGGTGCCGCAGCCGGGCCCGAGCTGGCTGGCGGGCCGCCTCAGCGAGCCTCCCTTGCCCCTTCCCGGAGCGGCCGAGGGTCCCGGTCCGCTCCCCCGCCGCAGTCCCCGAACTGCTAGCCGCGTGCGCTCGGGTGTGGACGCGGGGACCCCGCACTCACCGATATCCCCATCGTCTTCGTCCTCCTCCTCCTCCATGTCTAGCAGAACGTTCCTGGTCATCCTCTGCATGTCTCCCCCAAAAGGCGACTCGGAACTTGGCGCGAGGTCGGGGCGCTCCCGGGCTCCGGAGCGAAGCAGCTGTCCCGGGGTCCGCGGCGGGGGCCGGCGGGGCGCGCGTCGCTCTGCTCAGGGGGCGGCTGTGCCCAGCCCGCACCGGGAGAAGCCGAGCCGAGGCGGCCGCAGACCCGAGCCCGGCGCCCGAGGAAGCCTCGCTGCAGCCCGGCGCGGCCGGCGACTGAGCATGCCCAGTGCGCCCGGCGAGCTCGCTGCGGAATGATTGAACTTCCCCGGGTCTGCGGCGCCCGGGAGGAAGTCGGGAGGCGCGAGGGAGCAGCCGCGACCCGTCCCGCCCGCGGGGGCCGCGCGGGAGGGGGCAGGACCGGCGCGCGCGAGGCGGGGCGGACAGGCCCCCCGCGGGGGCGGCCTGGAGTGCTAAGGTCACCCTGGGCACAGGCTGTGGGGCTGGGTTTTTCTGACGTCCGATCCTGGAGAGGGGAAAGCGTGGCTTCAGCTCGCGTGAAGAGCCCTGAAGGCAGGCGCGTTCAAGGGCGTCTAGAGGCGACGTGGAGCTCATCGTGGGCATCTATAAGTAAATTGTTATCTCCAAAATTGGGCAGAGTGCAATCTGTAAGATTACGGGGGCGAAGTAAAAAGGTAAAACCCGTGAAGAATCAGGGACAGGAGAGAGAATCTTCTTCTAAAAGAAAGATTAGGAGGATTTCCGCATCAATCGAGGCTGCGGAGACGCGAGAAGCGCCCTCCACCCCGCCCGCGCGGGCGCGCACAGGGAGTGGTCGCAAGAAGGTGGCCAAAGTGTGCCGCTCCTTTGGACAATGGAAATTTTAGTCCTCCACGTCAACGAGGCAAAAGAAGCAGAAGGCCACTGTAGTTAGATGTAAATTCTTTTGTAAAGCAATGTGGAGAAATACAATAACAAGAGGAAATAAAACTAAGGCAGAGAGTTTTAAAACAATCATTTTTAGAGACCAAAGGTAGCGGTGGGACCAATACAAAGGAATGTCATACTTTGTTAAAACTGCAGGTCCCTTTGTTTGTGTGTCTACAGAACTTTTTTCAAAACAGGTGATGAATTCAAATGGGTAGATTTTGTCTTCTCCAAGGGGCTAGAGGTTGTATTTGAAATCTTCGTTCTATTTCTTGCTAACACTTCTCATTGAAATTGCTTATGTTTTTTTCTACTGAAGTACCAGGATTATTACAATAACATGAAATCAGTGCATTTTTATTTTCCCATACATACTTACTTTCATTCTTTATGAAAGTGCCAGGGATATTTTGGTTACCTGATCAGTTTTCACAATTCCCACTTAACAAAAGCACATATAGTGCTTTTTATGTGCTAGGTACAGTTCTAAATGTTTTACAGACGTTCAGTCATTTAATCTTCATAATAAGCTTAGGAGTTGTTACCACCCTCTTGCATAGGCACAAGTGCAGTGTGTCCAAAATCACACAGAGGGGGAGGGAGTAGCAGAGTTGGGATTCAAACTCATGCCTCTTGTTCCAGAATGTGTGTTTTTAGCCACTGCGTAAACTACCCCCAGAGACATTTCCAAATCCATTTTTTTAATTGCTTCCCCTCCCCCCACACACACACCAATTCTAAACTCTTAAAAGTCAACTCACTGCCACAGTTTTCTCACCAAAAGTTCTGGTCTGTATGAACTGAGGCTTTGTTCAAAGGTAATTTGTAGTTAGAAAACTATTGTGGTTGCTTTTGCAACAAGTTTCAATGAGTTATTGGGAATGATTTTAGAGTTTACATTTTTCTCGCTTGATAAATGTTGCTGGTCTTATACATAAAGGTAACTGTTGCTAAAAGGAAATGAATTATTAACTTAGGTTAGCTGTGAGTCTATTATTAGTAAGTTCCACTCTTTCCTCTAATCCATTTTATTCCCAGCAGCTTCTCTCATACGTTATTTTTTCCCATTGAACAATATGCAGAGGGTTCTGAAAAATGTATACACATTTCAAGAAAGGAAAACTCTGTATTAAATTTGTAATACTCAAGTCATGTTTGACTTCTGCAATTAAAAAAGTTACTCAATGTGACTTGTATTTATCCTTTGTTGTTGATATATATTGAGTTTTACATTCAATTTTAATAGTTTTTCTTTCCTTTCTTAGATGTGTATACGTTTGTTGGCACATACCTTGAAAATAATCCAGGTAATTGGCCTATATAAGAACTGTGTCCTTGGCTCTGAAGAATTGTCATCCATATCAAGAATACTTTATGAAATAAAATGTTCTTAACAATATATGGCCAGGTGATTTGTATTTGCAAAGCTTTTCCAAGTCAGTGATCACAGAACAAATATTTTCTAATTCATTTATCTCCTGATTAAGTACACCCTTTGGCCCCAAGGATACTCTGCTTATCTTGTGAATACTGGTATTTCTCTAGCTTCAATCCACAGGCCCCTTTTCTTTTCGTCTTTCCCTATAGAACTCAATCAGTCCTGTAACTTACCATTTATTCCAAGAGGGCTAGTTCTATGGACAAACAGTGCATTCAAACAGGGCCCTACACTCAGAAAGGCCTAACACTGGGGGTTTTAATGGTCTGTGGTTGCCATTTTGAAATTCTTAATAATAATGTTATTTTTGAATTTTTGTTTTGTAAGTGAAGATCAATGGTATAGTTCATGTCAAATCCTGTCAGTTCATGTCAAGTTCTGTCTCCTGCCACCTCTCTGTCTCCTAGAATGGGCCCTCAGCCTCCAGCTCCCTTGCTCCCTGGCCATGATTCAACTCCTCCTCCTGACCCCACCCAGGACCCCTGTTGTAGTCAGCATTCAGAGGGAATCTGGGTATAGGCCCAGAGAAGGTCAGGGTCATATACATACACCCACAGTGTCTTGGGGTAGGGCTTAGTGTCAGTTGTCTGCACTTTGAACTGGCAGTTCCACGATGCAGCCAGAGGGAGACTCGCTGGGGAGAGCCTTTTGCCCATGCCCTGTGCAAGTGCATCCCGGCACAGAAGTTCTGATCTCTTAAGAGTCTGTCCTTCCGTTGTGGGTTGCAGCAGTGAGCCAGTGGGAAGGGGAGATATCCAGCTGGACTTTCCTGCCTGCAGCCAGAGCCTGGTTTTTCAGTCCTATGGCTGTTTGGAGGGTGACTTAGCAGCTGTCTTTGCACAGAAGACCCTGTATTTTCATTTTTCACTGGGCCCTGAAAATGGCGTAGCTGGCTCTGGTTTCAAGATTTCATTTCCAGCCCAGATCTCTCCTCCATGTTGCAGATAGTCTATCTGCCTGGTGCTGGACCTCTCCACTCAGATGTGTCTTAGACATTCACTTCAAGTTTAGCAGGTGCAAAACCAAATGTGTAATCTCTGCCCCCTGCTTGCTTCCCTAAATCAGAGACTGTCACCAGCTAGTGACACAAACTGAGAATTTAAGAGCCATTTTAATCCTTTCCTCAGTCTCACCCCTCATGGCAAGTCAGTTGCTAAATCTTGCTGCTCCCCCCTCCTGGCTATCTCACCCACGTCCTTATTTGTCACCTGCTGCTGCATTTAGCAAAGACTTGAAGAAAGGAAGAGATCGAGGCATGTGACTGTCTGAGGAAACAAAGTTGTAGACAGAAGGAAGGCAAGAGGTCCAAGGAAAACCAACCAAGAGCCATGGTGACTGTAGCATAATAGATCACCCTGGACTCTAGTGGCTCACAGCAGCAACCAACGTTTTATGTCACACAGTTTCTGTGGCTCAGGGACTTGGGAGCAGCATCGTCAGGGATTCTGGTCTGGGTTCTCTCGCGCGAAGCTGTGGTCAGGATGCTGGCCAGGGCTGCGCTCACTTGAGGGCTTGGCTATGATCCTAGACCTGCCTCTGTGAGCGTTTGTTCTCATACTTGGGAACAGAAGCCTAAGGTTCCTCCCGCACGGGACTCTCTACCGGCTGCTCGAGTGTCCTCACAACATGAAGGCCTCTCAGAGAATAGGCAAGGTGGAAGCCAGAACGACTTCTATCACCTTGCCTTAGAAATCGCACATCGTCATGTCTGCTGTTGGTTACACATGCTGGTCTGTTCTATAAACTAAGAAGGGGCCTATGCTCTTGCAGGCCGGCTGCCGCATAGCTTCAGTGTCACTGCTTTGATACAGACTGTGCTCATTCTTCATCCCTCTGTGTATTCATTCAACAAATAAGTGTATGCTGGGAACCAAGTATATGCCGGCTACTTTTCTGGGTGTTGGGATTCAATAGTCAAAATCAGACTATGTCTTTGTCCTCGTGACCTTCCCTTCTAGTGGACAGAGACAAATAAGTTCACATCAGGAGATGATGGATACTGGTGGGGAAAATGGCACAGGCAAGTGTGATCAAGAAGCACGGTTGGTGCTGGGCTCTCTTTGGGTGGTCCAGGGAAGCCTCTCTGAGAAGGTGACATTTTAGCATGGACCTACAGAAGAGAACAGGCCATGTGAGTTCTAGGGAACAGGGTTTTAAGAAGAGAAATGCAAGAGCAAAAGCCTGCCTAGTGTCTTCAAGAAAAGTAGAGAGGCCATGGTGACTACAGCCTAGTGCCTAGTCCATTTTATGCTGCTATAACAAAACCACAGACTGGGTAGTTTAGAATGAACATAAATTTATTGGCTCGTGGTTTTGGATGTTGAGAAATCCAAGTTGAGGTGCCAGGATCTGTTGAGGGCCATCTTGCTACATTATCCATTGGTGGAAGATGGAAGGGCAAGAGAGGACAAGGGATGGGTGGGGGGATCGTCCTTTATAATAAACCCACTCCCAAGATGACAACATTCATGCATCCATTAGGGCACTTCCCCGTGACTCAAACACCTTCCCTTAGGCCTCACCACTCCCACATTGAGAATCAAGTTTCCAACACCTGACTTGGGTCAAACCATAGCACCTAGTGAGAGAAGGGAGAGTGGTAGGAGATGGGGTCTAGGCCAGCCGGGGAGGGAGTGCTACGAAGCCCTTTGGGCCATGCAGACTAACAGAAGAACTTGTGCTTTTACTTTACCTAATATGCAAAGCCCTAGGAGAGTTTTCAATACATGGGTGTCATGATTTAACTTACATTTTAAAACATTCTTTCTGACTGCTTTATGGAAAACAGACTGTAGAGTTGCAAGTGTAATAGCAAGAGAGCAGTTAGGAGACTAGTTCTATAATTCAGACAAGAGATGTTTGTCTTGGACAGGGTTGTTGTGGTGGATGGGATTGTAGATGTATTTTGATGTAGATCTGAAAA